TACAGGTATTGGTCAAGCAAAGACTCAATGAAACTTGGGGATCAAAAAGTTCAGAGGAGGTGAACTTCTCCACTAACTCAAGAAAGTTTAGAACTGGCCTGACTTATAACCCAGTAGAGCCCATGGATGAAGATACTAAACTGATTATGTTAACTATTTCTTAATACATTATTAACTTAATCTGTTTCAAACTAGTTCTCCATCATAGTAACCAAAGTTCTATTCACTGTGTACCTAACCTCTACTTGCTTCGGCAGTAGCAGAGACTGGCATATTATGGGAGTTTATGAGGGGGAAATTAATGAATTCTTAAAAAATTAAGGGTAACTTAATTTTTCATACATTTACACTTTTACTCCATGATGGATGTGCAAGGGCTGTATAGAGCAACCAAACAGTCACTTGCCTCTATATTAGAATGTGTTTACTTGAACTGATACAAGCTGGAATACAACCATCCCAGATTTCATAAACCATACAAGTATGGACTAAATACTGTAGTAGGTATTGTAAAGGGCAAATTTTTATATTATAAACGTAAAGAAAAGACTCTGTATAAATGAAAAAAAAAGGAAATACAAAAGCAATTAAAACAGGTGTGATAGGTTTATCCTTGGGCTATCACAAATAGTTATTAGACTTGCACCAACATTATAACAGTACTTAAGATTTAATTTGAGGGTTGGAGGCAAGTTCTTATGGATGTCTTAGATTTTTATAAAGTGAAAATACAATAATATGATGGCCTTGGATCATACTGTGGTTTACAGGAAACGTGCAAAACTATAAAACTAGTACTTTGATGTTATGTTCTTATTTTTTTCAATTGGCATCCCTGTAGACTTGTATACGTTTCATCTTTTCTTGACCAATTTGAAATACATTTGAACAGAATCCACACTTAAAACATGCAATTGGAGTTGGCAGATGCATTCAACAAGAGTTAAATCACGTTTCTCAGAAAAACCTGTACTAAAATATATCAACTTCATAAAAACAGTGAATTATTTTTGTTCTAAAATCTTCAGAATTTACATAAACATCAAACTAGGTACATATGCTTTAATAGTAGAAGTATACTTCAGAAACCTATTAGAGAGAGCTTATCTCTTTAAAATAAGTTGAAAAAGAAATTATACAGGTTAATGTTAAGATTTTTTCAAATAACTACTTCTCTCTTTAATTTATTTGGTTATTGATGTCATTGATTCTGACAGTGAGCTTGAGGGTTTATGAAATCAAATATATCTTTATTTCATCCAATATTTCATACCTAATTATTGTTACAACAAAGGTTTTTTCATACATAAATATAAAGTATACAGTCAAATCACTTCTTCCAATACAATACTAGGACAAAAATTGTGAAATAAACCTTTATCACAGATTTATATATGGCTTTGAAATCATGCATTCACTGCATTTCTTTCAACAGGCAGTTGCAGTCCAATCAAGTTCTCAAGCCTACTTTACTGCCATTTGTCTATCTGTATTCTTTGTGTCAATTCTAACTGAAGTATTGTATTTCCTTGTTCTTAGTTAATATTATAACAATCAGCTACAAGTTCTTGATATATAAGAATTTTAATTAACTTTAACTTACTGCAAAGTTCACACATTTTTAAATTAAAAATTAGCAAGTGAAACTTTTTTTACTTAATGAATCTGTGGAACTATATATTGACATAGCTTATGTACTATTTAATCTGTACTGAAACACCCAAGCATGTTTGTATGGTTGAGCTCGATCCATTTTCATATCACTGTGGATCTGTTGTAGGCTAATAATTATTTGACATAATCTTTAATATACTTTTGGATGAGTTCAAGTAAATTAATATTGGGAAAACATGACCCAGACTCAAGGCCATTGCAAATATTTTGTCACTTAAGTACTATTTAAAATATTTTTGATAATGTAAATAGATGTTTTTCAGCAAGTACATTCCATACACTATAAGCATAATGGTTTTCAAGAAATCAAAACTCCCAAAGTACCAAAAGGACTAACATCATATTCAAGTTTTCTATTTCTGCATTTGGAAAATTATCTGAATCATCTGTATTACATCAGGTAATTAATACACATTAAGAACAGATTCAGAGACCTCCTATATGAAACATATTGTTGGTGTGAATGTGCTTTATAGACACTATGAGAAAAAAAAAAAATCTATACACTGAAGAAAAAGTGTCATTGGCCACTATTCAGTTCTTCACATTATATTGCTGCACATTAGCAGATATAATAGATAAACTCAGTATTCCAAAAATTGTTTAATGTTGAAGTCTAAGTATCTTGATGTTCTCTAATTATGAAATAGCACAGACATACAACAACATGTTTTGTTCAGAGTCCAAATAATATTTGTATTGATAAAGAAATCACAAATTCTTGCACAACTATTTATAATCCAGTTTGAACTAGTAAATAAGATATATGTAGCATGCATTTATCCTTTTACTTTGAAATAAGAGAGCACAATAAACCATGAAAGAGTTTTGACAACAATCTCACATGAAATAACCTATAAGGTCAGGAAGAGGCTGTTTGTTTGATGATTTACATGCAGAGCTACTCAAAGGTTATCTGTGCTAGTTGTCCCTAATTTTGAATGGGCAGACCAAAGGGAAGGCAGCTCGTCAATACCAACCATTGGCAATTTGTGGACTATTCTAATCAAATAATGGGATTTGACTGTCACTCTTATAATGCAGTGTGTGGAGTAGGGTATATTTTGGTAATAACAGATCATGAACCTCAGATCCACAGTCTGACATGCTAACTACATGGCCATTCAAAAAGAGAGTGCACACTCTCTTCTTCATTATGCACATCTTGATAAAGTTAGACATGAAAAATACAAGTTTTATAATAAGATAAATATTATCTTACTACAAATGTTAGCTTCTTATATCAAAATAAAAACATTTCAACTCTCATCAGATACAAAAATAATTAAAAACCAGCTGATAAATAATTTTAATCAGTATTGGCTTTCATTCTTGTCTGATGTGAGCTGACATTATTTCTAATTTAAGTAATGGATTTGAAGAGAAACTGGTAACGAATTTAAGTTTATCAACAAACAAAAGACAACCTCTCCACAATAATAATATATGAATTAAAACCCTAAAATATATTTATTTATTAAAAAAAATCTTGAAAAGTATTTTTAACTTTGAGAACTTACTGATCTCAATGAGTTCTTTAAGTACACAATATGAGAACTTTTAGAATAATTTGTTTTATAGTTAAGCACAAAGCTACATAAAGGGCTATCTGTGCTCTACCCACCACAGGTATCGGTTTCTAGCGTTGTAAGTCCGCAGACATACCATTTAGAATAATAAAACTTTGTACTATACAAAAAGTTTTCAAAATTACTACAACATTTATCTGCACAAAAAAGTTAAATATACCCAAATTATTTCTAGAGAACTTGAGAGTAGATTTTAAGAGAGCTTCTTTATTTTTCAAATATATATATATATATATATATATAAAATAAAGTAATAGAGCATAGATTCAATATACAGATCTTGGTTGACAAGTATATTATGGATATGTTTGTGCCCTTATGTCCTATTTTAATAACTAGCCTACACAGCAAATATGTTACAAAGACACTTGTTCTACACACCTAACAAGTGTTACTAACACACTTGTTCCACATATATTCTAGTTAACAAGTATTACACAGGCAGTTGTTCTATATACATCCTAGCAAAAAAGTATAATACAGACACTTGTTCTAGATACATCCTCATTAATAAGTGTTAGAAAAGCACTTGTTCTGCATAGATCCTAGTGAATAAGAATTACATAGGCAGTTTTTATACATACATCCCAATTAATAAGTGTTACAAAAACATTTGTTCTACATACATCCTATTTAACAAGTGCTGCATAGGCAGTTGTTCTACATATATCCCAGTGAACAAGTTCTACATACATCCTATTTAATAAGTGCTGCATAGGCAGTTGTTCTACACACATCCCACTGAACAAGTGCTGCATAGGCAGTTGTTCTACACACATCTCACTGAAAAAGTGCAGCATAGGCAGTCATTCTACACAGATCCCAGTGAACAAATGCTGCATAGGCAGTTGTTCTACATACATCCCACTGAACAAGTGTAGCATAGGCAGTCATTCTACATTCTAATGAACAAGCGTAGCATAGGCAGTTGTTCTACATTCTAATGAACAAGTGCTGCATAGGCAGTTGTACTACATACATCCCAGTGAACAAGTGCTGCATAGGCAGTTATTCTACATACATCCCAGTGAACAAGTGCTGCATAGGCAGTTGTTCTATGTATATCCCAGTGAACAAGTGCTGCATAGGCAGTTGTTCTATGTA